CCGTCTTTCAAAAAAAAATTGGCGGGAAAAAGTGCGTCTTATACACAGAGATTTACGGTAGTTTGTTAATCCAGCTTGAAGTGGAATCTTATCAGAAAATTTGAACATGATATGCTTGCCAGTAAATGCAGAGAATTGTTGAGATAAGGTTAGATACTGAGACACATAGATAAGGCCTAAAATAAAAACTTGTTGCATTGCCCTTTGCGACCGACCCAAAAATCTGAAAATCTACGGTCGGCATTTAAAAAAAGTTTTACTTTTTAAAAACTGTTTTTTAGATTTTTTGATATTAATGAATAAAAAAATATGTATTTTGTTTGTTTAAATGGGTATAAATGCATAAGATCAAATTATTCCAAAATTCTCACCCGTGCGAACCATGGATAATTATAAGGTGAAAAAGATATCAATGGAATGATGTGAAACACATGTATTAAAGCATTAAAAACTGAGAAATATCAGCAAATAGAGGGCGGGGAAAAAACAGAAAAAACACAAAAACATTCAAATCTGAAAAAATATCAGTCCAAAGAGGGCGACAAAAAAAAAGTTTTAAAAAATAAAAACTTTTCCGACCGACCGACCCATGTTTTGGCACCCAAAGGGCAATGCAACAAGTTTTTATTTTAGGCCTAACTGCATTACATGTATTAATAATGCTATCATGTGAATAAGGAATGCACCACCCAGGCCCTGTTTAATGAAACTTGTTATCAATAAAAGGTTGCAATATGTTATAAGCTACTGAAATTCTTGTATTTGATTGGCTGTGAGCAGAGTTGTCATAGATCTGTGGCAGTTTTTATTGATAACAAGTTTTATGAAACAGGGCCTAGAACCAGGCCATATTTTAAGTAAAAACTGACCGTCCACCCCTGTTTCCTTTTTAAAAATTGAACCAACTATCCCTCCTTCCATTCATCAATCTTCTTATCCATCTATCCAGCCATCATTTCTATCAATCCGTGAATCCTATTTCCCTCCATCCGATTTCTCTCCACCCATCTTGTTATCCAATTTTTACCTATCGATCAATTCAATTTTACTCCCTATCTATTAGCTCCATCCATCCATCCATCCATCCATCCATCCATCCATCCCTCCATCCATCCATCCCTCCATCCATCCATCCATCCATCCATCCATCCATCCATCCATCACTCCATATTTCATAGGAACTGATACCCAGTGTGTTATTAATAGTGTTAGTCTAGGTGTCCCAATTTCCAGGGAGCTTTTCAAAATGACAGATGCCGACATTCTTATTCTAATTGGAACTCAAGTAAAGAATCCTGCATTTCTGATATATTATTGCAAAATTTCATCAAAGTGTGGTAGATATCATTATGCAGTGTATAACTGATAGGTCAATTTAATAGGCATCCCAGTTTCAAGGGAACCTTTTAAAATAACAATTGCAGACATCCCTTTTTACCCTATTTATCCCTACTTACATGTACAGATAACTTCTCAAAATGTCATTGATACTTGGTAGATATATCATTACAGCGTGTAAAGGAAGGGTCAGTTATGGTGTCCTGCTTTCCAGGAGGCTTCAAAAATAGGACAATTGCTGACATCCCTATTTTGATATGCACTTACTGTCATGATTTTACATGTACATGTACAGATAACTTCTCAGAATGTCATCGATGCTTGATAGGTATTATTACGCAGTGTGAAACTGAAGGGTCAGTTAGTCGTCCCAGTTTCCAGGGGGCTTCAAAAATATGAACATTTCTGACATCCCTATTTTGATTAGCACTTAGTTTCAGACGTTTACATTTCCAATGCACTAATACTTACATGTACTAATAACTTCTCAAAATGTCATCGATACTTGAAAGATATCCTTACGCAGTGTGAAACCAAAGGGTCAGTTAGGTGTCCCAGTTTCCAGGGGGCTTAAAAAATAGGACAATTGCTGACATCCCTATTCCTACTCAATTTCAAACTTTTTTATGCTTCAGGGGCATTTTACACAAGGACGTACATGCAGCTTCTCAAATTTCATGAACATAATCTTTGGGAAGATGTAGAGTATTTAATACCGTAGTAGATGTTGTAAAACAACAATGAACATCAACAAATCTTCCTTTGTAGAACATTTGTCTAAAATAAAATAATTTGATCTCCAGATTGACAAGTATATTTAGCAACTCTTTTGGGATTTTGCCCATTTGGGATAACCGTTCAAGCTCATTTTAATCTATAATATTTTGAATTAGTTAGGGGCATTTTAATTTTTCAGTATTAATGAAACAAGAAAATAACTACTGGTAATTATTTTGGTAACATGTATTGTTGCAAATAACAGGGACACAAACATTTTTGTGACTTACTGTTTTTGCAATACTTATTACAGGCTACTTTAATATAATCCATTTTTCCATATGCATTGCCAGCTCATTTTTTGGATGCTCTTAAATGTGCAACTCTACAAAAATTCCCAGACATTATACATGCACAAGAGTAACAGACTATGCACTAGTTGTAATAGTAGTAAGTATGGCAGTGATGCTCAGATAATTATGGTCTTGAAGTGGTGTTTGATGGGTAATGAAATCTTCTCGGAGAGCACAAGATCCCTGATTATGAACTGCTCTCTAGGCCTGTCTTCATCAGACCGAAGTTGCAAAATAACCCATTATTTTTAGGCTCAAGATATTTTCCTGAAGCTCGAATTGCGTCTTCACCGGAACGATCCGCTCATCACAAACTAGCTCGGAAGGGCGGAAGTTAGCCCGCTATTTCCCAAATAGCGGGCTATTTTGGAAGCAAGACCAAGATTTCTCAAGTTATTTTCTCAACCAAATAGCCCGCTAATTGCAACTGTGGGCTGATGAGGACGCAAATTAGCTGGCTAATTGGAGATCAGGCTAGTTAAAATAGCGGTTTATTTTGCAACTTCGGTCTGATGAGGACAGGCCTGATTAAGAACTGCTCTCTGCTTCCTTCAGCTGGACAGGAAGTTTGCGTCTAGACTAGGTCCCCGTGGAAGGAAAGCCGGGGATAAACTATTGCTTTTTGGAGGATTCCAATATTTTCCTGGACTTTAATAATAGACAAGGTCTTCGTTGCTCTCAGCTCCAAAGGATATACGCTCAATATGTTTCTGAATCAAAGATACTATTTTAACATTTTCAAGCGAGAATAAAACCAGGTTGACTGTAAATGTGTCTTTTAACTACAAATTTTGATGCATATTTTTAGGCCCATATTCTCTGGTATTTCAGGCACTGTCATTCTTTGACAGATTCAAGATTTGAAAACCCTTTTGACTAGAATTTCTAAATACATTTTTGAGGTGCCTTTTGGAGTTATAGATAAGGGGGGGGGGGGGTATACAAATCAGAATTAGAGGTTATTTTAACACATGATGTCCACAAGGAATGGGAGATAAGTTTTAGAAGGGAGCATTGGTTGTTTTGCCATCCCCAAAGAAAACAAAATGCCAGTGATTTCATTCATGCTAACAAAAATTAACCAAAATGATTTGTTTAGTGTATGAAATGAAAGAGTTAAATAACTAATTGTAAGCTCCTGACGATCTCCCCACTCCTGACGACGGATAGTCAACCTGTTTGAAACGTCGAGCCACTCCCGCCACTCATCCTCTCCAAGCGCTGCAGTTCTTCTTAGAACTATAAGCTATGAAAGATAACCAACAGTCTTTTTCAAGACTACACCAACAGTCCTTTTCAGGACTAACACACCCTCAAGAAAGATTACCGAGAGTTCTTTTCAGGACTCCTCTATCCCCCCTCTCTCTCTCACATGGTGCACCTGCAAGCCTTCTGTATAATTGTTATCTGTTCTGAATCTTCTGATCATATTCTCTCTTTGAGTTATGCTTTGACTCTGATATTTGGCAGATGATCTCTGAATCTGAATCTCCCCCCCAAAAATGTCGTGTGAACAATAACTATCTATCTCAAAATGATTATGAACGTCTACTTCTAGGTCAGGTCCCCACAGTCGCACCCTCATACCCACAATCCCCTCTGGAACAGATGAATATGCATGTGACACCTGTTCTACACATTTTTACATACATGTAATAGCAGTGAAGGGATGTTCCTTTGTCTACCACAGCAATTGTTGAGGGTAGAGTGAGGAACTGTATATTTTGTCCTCTTTCTTTTTCCGTCATGTTCATAGTGAATATTACATCTTGACCACAATAGAAGTATCAATCCAAAGGCAACCAGTTATCTTATATGTTGCCATGGCAACTGGTCCAGAGTTTGGTTCGATGGTAGGAGGAAAGGGGTGGGTTAACATGGACAAATATCGTCAGGCAGAGCAGCATAGACTTCACATGACTTCCAAGAATGAGATTTTGCATACGTGTTCTCATGCAAGAGTTCTGCGGTCGTTGAACCAAAGATGTACACGTAGTACCATGCGTGATATCATTTTCTTTTTCCTCTGTATTTTCTAATGCTCGTTCTAAGATCCATGTGCCCACATTTTCATCAATTATTTAAGTTCACTTGATGCATATGATGTAAATGCTTTGTCTGGTAAAAGGCATAAAGAATGTTTTATTCAGACTATACTTGTTCAATTTGACAGCAACATTTTTCGGATTTGTCATATTTGTAGTTGCTATAAATATTTGGGGTCATTTAAAGATAATAAAACGGGGGGGGGGGGGGGGGGGGGTGTCAACTAAAAATCCATCAAAAGTATTTTGGAAACACAAAGAGAAATTTTAGAAATTATAAAGAAGACAAATATATTACTTGAACATCATCATACTGAATGATATTTTTTTCAGCATGAAATTTCCAAAATGTCTTTTCAAAGGTTAACACAGGTTTCCTTGCATAATTTGAATACTAGGAAACTGCTAATGTTTAAATCTCACAGATAGGACATACGTGACATATATTCCTAATTCCCACAAAGTTCTACAGAATTTGATGTTGGCTGCAAAAGGTACATACCGGTAGTATCTTTAATGGTTTTTATTTCCTTTTTTTTTCTTGCAGGGTGTGGAACAGATCGTCTGCAGCACCATCAGTAGTTGCGGAACCTGGGTAGCTTATTCGGATGTGGAGAAAATCAGATTCTATCACGTCACTCACAACCCACTCTCAATAACCAGGGTGAGTTCTTCATTATAGGTTTGATTGAAAGTCTACCAATCATTTAAAGCCCCACTGCACTTATAGCTACTTGCGCCCTCTATACAACCAACAATGCCAAAGCGGTACCCATTGACCCTTTTTCTTATGTTAATTGAGAGCTATGATTTGATGAGATAACCACCTGTCAGTGACCATGCAGGGATGTCTAAACCCTCCTGGCCAAACTAGTGCCAAACTATTCTAACCAGGCTATTTCAGACCAAGTTTTTACTGAGGGGGGGGGGGGGGGGTCAATTTGACCCCCCTCCCCCCCCCCCCTTTCATCCACGCGAGTGCATCGATTAGTCTACTCACTAGTCACTCCATCTATGCTTTAAATTGAGAGTTTATTTAAACTTGCAAAATACTTGTCATTAATGACACAAATAGTTAGGGATTAGTACAAATCTTTTTCAGACTATGCATCACACATTATCATCAAGAGCAGAAATTTTGAGGGAGAGCAGGGAAAATATATTCCAACTTGAAAAGTGTTCATGCTGTATCTTGGTGTGATATTCACAAAAATGGGCACAGGGGTGAAGGCAAATATCTTTCCTACAGCAATTTTTTATGATAATGGCGTAATAAAAGATTATTTTTTAATTTACTGTACAACATCCTGATGAGCAGTGCAAGCATCGAATAAGACATGATCACTCAGCATACCTGCCAACCCTTCTGAATAATCCAGAATATTCAGATTTTTAAAAATTCAGGTTGTTTTTTTGTTTTGTTTTTTTTGTGGGGGGGGGGGGGAGGGGGGGTTGTTGCTACTTACTAAAGCCAAATTAAGCTTGTTTTATCATGTGCAGCGGATTTGTATTCGCTTTTTTGTACGCATGTGCGAACGCCTGTTAAGGATACAGATTTCTTATTTTCAAAGGCATACCGTGCTAGAAATTCCAAATTCTTGTTTTCAAATGTTAGCAGGTATGACTCAGTGGTAGAGCAGTGGCTGCACAACTAGGAGGTCCTGGGTTTGAAAAAGAATGAATGCTGTAGTGCCTTGCAGTAAGGTATCAGTAATTGTTTGTAGACAGCAGGGCTCCTATCGTATTGCAGAGTTAACACCCTCCCGCCTCCTAACAGATGACTTCTTCACTACCAAGTCCCTGAGTTAGGACCTAAAGCTGTAGGTCCCCTTTGTTTCTTACATACAAGCATTCATCCTCTCTCTTTAATGTTGAGGTACAATAATAAGTCATTAATCGTTTCATTCCAATTCTTTTGTATCACAGGTCCCAACCATCCCTTCTAACCTGCATCCAGCGCATCACCTGGCCTTCACCCCGGACTCTTCCAAGTTAGTCTCGGCAGTTTGCACGGGATCAGCGGGTCTTCAGCTCCTCACCGTGGACGGTCCAGACGGTGTGGACTGTCCCCAGCCCCTGGTCCAGTCCTTACCCATCACAGAGGTCCAGGGGCCGTACACGGCGCTGGCGGTCAGCGGGGACGGGGAGAGGGTGGCTGTTGTCGGGTCAGAGGGCAAGGTAGCTGTCTTGCCTCTCAACAGTAACAAGGTGAGAATAAGGTCAAAGGCCAACTTTCATGGTGTTTATCATACCACCAAAGCTTTTGATAAAGAAGTTTTTGTACACCAGTGATACTCTTATTTTGTAATGTTTTTGACTCTCTTGTATTTTTTTATACTTTGGGAACTATGCCTTACAAGTATTTAGCAAACTTTTTAGTAGTTTCCATTTTTCTTCATTGTATTGTGTTTGTTTTTTTATAATTGAGAAAAATAATAAATTGAGCTGGTCTTTATTTTTTGAAGGAAGCACAAAATCTGTGCTTTACAAACAAGGGTCTCTCACTATCCCCCCCCCCCCACTCAGTGTTATTTAAGGTACGCATATTCATGTTCCCTCCTTTTAAAAACAACCCCCTAAGTCCGGTGTTAAAAGTCAATGTGGGCCAGATTTTTGTGTACCATGAGCCGGACTTTGTTGCGTGAAAAGTACCGATTTACCAGACATTTTGGGAACACGCATGCGGTCCTTCCGATCCCGGAATGGGGGGCTGGGCTCACTATACAGTCAGTTGCTAGAGAAGATGGGGCTTTATGCTCCTTCTTGCTTCATGAAAACATCTTAAAACATCTGGACCCCATCTTACAAAGAGTTTATATCAATCGCAACTTATTCGCGATTGATATCAATCGCAATTATGTACATAAGAGATAGGAGACTGCAAACTTGCAATTGATTGGAGGACTAGCCATTGGTTTGGATCAATTGTATCTCTCTGTATAAGTCGGGGCCCCGTTTTAAGTTGACAGGTACATGTTAGACCTTCAGTATCAAGAATTCAATGCTTCATTTAAAGCAACATTTTAATTGCAGTTGCTACCTAATCATCTATCCATCCGTTTTTTCTACAAAATGAATGAAAGAAATTCATGTCATCTGTGATGACTACATAACTTTCTGTGTCTTTGTCACTTTTTCTATCAAATACCGTTAAGATCTGTTGTGAGTTGAAGGTAAAATTTAAAGCTGCAGTACCAAGTGTTATTAAATGCTCTGATAAACCTTTTAATTGCAAGTTGCCATCCATCCTTGGGTCACTTTGTTATCAATATGTGTCCAATTTACAGATCAAATCAGTAGTGCTGCCTCACACCAAGGTTCCTCCATGTTGCTTGGCCTTCCATCCGTCCAGCAAGCAACTAGCGGTAGCTTACACAGACAGAAATGTAAGTAGTAATTGACCAATCAACTCCACAGCAACACATCCATCCAGGTAGATTTCCAAATTAGTCGTTAATGAAAACTCCTAAGCGTGATACTGAATTTGTGTAAAGATTCTCTGGAATAGCGCCATCTCAAGTTCAAACCAGTTGTAATTGCATGATCCTTGCTTACAACTTCACATTTTCCGGACAAATGAAAGATTACAAAATTGAACACTTGTAACTGCTCTCTTTCATGACAATACATATGTATTTTGGGCATTCGAAATTTGTTAAGATACTGCTAGGTTTTATTTTAGAACACAAGCACAAATTATTGCTCAGAACTTATGTTAAGATTTGCAGCAATTGTTTATATAAGAAATTTATAAGGGTTATAAGAATGATAACATGCTTCATACATCAACGATGCCTTTAAGCACTCTACAGATGTATTATATATCTAAGATATCAATCATATTATTATATTCCCCTGATAATAATAATAATCATAATAATCTTTTATTAAGTTAAACTGAAAATGGAAATTCTTTTTGCCCAATTGATCGTGAGCCCGGCAGCCACTGAGCAGCGCCAGATCGACGTTGCTCTATCCCTTATTGTTGAATGCCAAACAAGGTAGCAGCAAGTCACCGTCTTTTAACGTCTTTTAGTACGACGCGGCCGGGGTTCGAACCCACGACCTCCCGGTTGTGAGGCAGACGCTCTACGGACTGAGCCAACACCCCTGATCTTGTAAAATGTCTGTGAAAAACTAGTAGCTACTTTATGTCATGCAGAAATATAGAAGAATGTGATGATGTTGTACTTCTACCATTGAACTACCCTCCAGCACCTGCAATATGAAATTTTCCATGTGTTTAGATTTATATATACTTCATCCTTCAGATTGCAGAATATGAATCACCAAGCACGAGTACACGCCCTTTGACCGGTCCGTCCACAAGCAGGGTCTCCACCAATCCTGGTTTTATTCACTTTGTTATAATTTTATATTTGTTATAATTGGATCGTCATAACTTAACATGGCGTGTAAAATTCGAATTTCAATGGTCTTCCTCAACTTCATCCTCTAGATCGCAGAGTATGACATCACCAAACACGAGTACACCCCCTGGAGCCGGTCCGTCCACAAGCAGGGTCTCCATCAAGCTTGGCTGGAGAAGACCAGTGTCATCCATCAGATGACCTTTGACCCCTCCGACCCTGACAAACTCCTGGTCCAAGACGGGACCTGGTTGACCGTCATAGACAAGACCAAGGTAGGCTTAGTAGCTTAACATGCTATTTTTGTTTATTACTAGGGCATTAGTAAGAATTACCCACACAAGGTATCGTTGGAACGGTCTAACACGCCTGAGGCGATAGCCGAAGGTGTTTGGACTGTAAGCAGTCGGTTGCTTGGCGTATATGAACAAGACGGACACATTGTGGGTCTGGAATCTTCCAGATCGCAATCCCCCACTCCAAATCAAACTCTTCCTATAATCCCAGTTTTGTCCCAGAATTCAATTGAGTGGTAATGGACCCCCCATGGAAACCTCTCCCCCGCAGTGTTCTCCAAAATAACACTTTTCTTGAAAGGCAGCTCTGTATCACCCGGGTCAAGGGTTAAACGCAGCTAACATCCAATTTATGCGGGCATTTATCACTTGTCTTGAACGGAATCATAAAAGCTATTGGTGATGTGTTTTTGAGAGTTAAAGAGAAGGATGAGACCTGGTAAGGCGAACATTTTGTTGACAAAATGTTATTGTCTCTTTTGTTTCGTTTATTTTTATTTCAAGTTTAGTTTCATTGACTACATGAAATAAATTTGCATTTGAAATTGGTGTTTGTTTGTATGGCCTTAAGAAAATACAGATTCTGCACAAGTCGTCAACAAGTCATGAAAACAGATTTTTTGTTAATTTGTATTTTTTATTGTTATGCAATCTGTATCCTCTTTGGATCTATCTTGAATTCTTAAATAATAATAAAAATCATGATAAGGCCTATAAAAAAAATGTTGTATTGCCTTTTAGGTGCCAAAACATGGGTCGGTCGGTCAGAAATCTTCTTTTTCTTTTTATTTATTTTTTTTTATTTTTTTACTCCCTCTTTTGGTTGGTATTTCTCCGTTTTGAATGCTTTAAAACGTTTTTTTTCTTCTAAAAAATGGTTTTAAAAACAAAAACTTTTTTTAAAAGCCGACAAAGGGCAATACAACGTCTTTTTCTTTAGGCCTTATGATGATGATGATTATAATAATGATCATAATGATGGTGATGATGATGATGATGATGATGATGATGATGATGATGATGATGATGATGATGACGATGACGATGGTGATGATGATGATGATGATGATGATGTGCGTTACAGAATATCATTACCCAGTTTAGGCTTTCCCTCACACAATGTATGCAAATTCTCAAATCCCTGGGGAGCATTAAAGGGCATACGTGCTGTGTCAAGATCGGTGATCGAACCTATGACCTTTGCATTTCCAGTCAAGAGCTTAAACCACTCAACTACATCACCTTTACTTTATATCTCTTCTCCCCTCCCTCCCCCTCTCTCTCTCTCTCTCTCTCTCTCTCTTTTCTTCTCTCCCTTTAATTTTCACATGCAAACATGAAAGGGAAATCCAACCTATTCTAGAGGAAAGCTGAAATATTAGAGAAGTAGACTGGTGAAGGTTTGAATGAAATTAGACAAAACATTAGAAAGTTACAATTACAATTTTTGAAAACTGTAATCACTATAGGTAAGGGCTCTTCAAATTGGATAAATTTGTAATGTCTCGGTGATGTAGAAAAAAAAATTAAAATCCAAAAAATTATGACTCATAAGGGTCTAGTTAGGCGACCTATAATAACATGCTAGCCATAACATATATTGAGTAATGCCCCAATGAGAAGGCACTTACAGACAAACATTCATAACTTTCTAATCATCGGTCAAATTTACTTCAGTCTTTCGCCATTATGTTTTTCTCTTATTATTCTTCTTTCATACAAAGTAACTTATTACAAGGGTCATATTGCCCTTTAACTGTAATAGTGTATGTTTATAGTATATGTTTTAAGGTTCTTCGCAACCAGCCTGCTCATTTGTGCAAACGAATTTGCAAAATTGAAAAATACATTAAAATCTCACTAGTCATGTTCGGGTAAGCCACCCATTTCAACAATTATTCTAAAATATATCAGCAAACAAAACCAACATTAGGCAAGTGCAAATTGATGTCGTCGTCTGAGCACCCTATATCCGCTCTGGATTCATCAACATTGTACATATCTCTTGTCTAGTCAATCAAGTGATATAATTTTCACATTTTTTTCTTCTTTAATGTGGCCAAACAAAATTGGCACCAGGCAAATACAAATTGAATCAATACTGAGAAACCCTGCATCCTTTCCTAGTTTCATCAACCGCACTTATCACTGTTGATGTATACTGCGTTTGCCTTTATATCTTTTTAATGAATAGATATAGAGGATATGAAGTTTTAAAAAAGAAAATGTGTCATAAGAAGAAGACATAATGAACATCTGAGCCACAAAGGACCAAACAAACAACAAATACATTACATTACCCTTATTTTATTAGGACGAAGGTTTTGTATAATTTGAAAGTCACACCTACTTGCATACAAACGCTCAAAACCATGAAAATCACAGAAAAATATCTGAAGTTTACTATGGTTCGTGTGTTTTTATACCTCCGTTACGAAGTAGCCGGAGGCATTATGTTTTCGGGTTGTCCGTCCGTACGTCCCGTTCTCCTGATCGCGTTTTCTCAAGAACCGATTGATGGATTCCTGCCAAACTGTGGTCATGTGTGTATCATGCAGAGCCGATGAACTGATTAGATTTTGGGGTCACGAGGTCAAAGGTCACAGGGCTCATTATGTATGCAAAAACAGCTTGTGATCGTGTTATCTCAAGAACCGATATATGGATTCCTGCCAAACTTAGGTCATGTATGTTACTTGCAGAGCCGATGAACTGTTTATATTTTGGGGTCATGAGGTCAAGGTCAAAGGTCATGCAGCTCATTATGTATGCAAAAATAGCTTGTGATCGCATTATCATTAGAACAGATTGATGGATTCCTGCCAAACTTAGATCATGTATGTATCTTGCAGAGCCAATGAACTGAGTAGATTCTTGGGTCATGAGGTCAAAGGTAATGGGCTCATTATGTAAGCAAAAATAGCTTGTGAACGCATTCACATTAGAACTGACAGGATTACTATTTAACTCAGGACATCTTGCAGAGCCAAAGAACTGAGTAGATTTTAGGGTCATGAGGTCAAAGATCAAAGGGTCATATATGTATATGAGAAATTGCTGGTAACATGATATTCTGAGAACCCGTTAATGGATTACAATTGAACTCGAATTTGAAAAATTTCCGCTGTTTTGGTTTGTAAAATTGCTCTTTGACGGAGGCATCATTTTCGACTGCGCACAGTCGAAGTTCCATCTAATTTAAATTTGTTATTGCTTCCCCGCATCAACTGCTGAAATGCGCTATATAAAAATGAACTATTATTATACATACATGAATAGATCTCCTCTGTAGAGCCCGCCTGCCTACAGTGGTCACCGATAGTGCCTCCTGAAGGAAATATGTGTTGAAGAACCTGTCTAGAAAGGCCACATGTCTACAGTCATCAATTTTTGTGTTTCCCTTGGACGGCCTTAATAGACAGGTTGACTGTATTCATAAGATTCGTAACACCTGGCTGGAATGCTCCCCAGGGAGTGGAGATTGTGGGCAAGCACTGAATCCAATAACCAGGGCAATAGTATATTTGTAAAGCACTATAAAGACATTGTATTAAACGCTATATAAAAGCTAAATATTATTATTATCATTAACACCTGACAAGCCGCGATCTCATCCTTTGATGGTCGATCGATTTTGGAGGTGTGACATGGTCATGGAGCTCCAGAAAAAACGCTTGTCTGCTGTCAGTCATGCGGACTTATTCAAGGTCAGAGTAGAGCCAAGTTTAGCTCACAGGTGCTGTGACACAAGACAACGATGCCCCTAATCCCTCATTAAAAGCCAGACAGGAAGGATCATCGACTCTGACATTTTTGGAAGCCTTTCATCAAATGGACAGCCCCTTGGTGTCCAAGTCTATCACGGAATGCTCCGTGTAATGGCTGAGAAGGCAAATAATGGTTGCCAGACCTTTTTACATTTGAGGTTTAGTCACCATCGTTGGCATTATATATTGTGAAAGAAATTGTCGCAGAGCAAATGGAAAAGGTTGATTATGAATGCGGTACATATGAATTGATATATATCGTGAGGTTTTGAAATCATCAAAGTATTTCAAAGGCAATGCTTAACAATGTTTCCAGTTTGACAAATCTGAGATGCATGGCCCTACATGTTCTCAGTGTCTGTGATATGGTGTAATATTAAAGCCCTTTCAAAATTTGCGCTTTAAAATGATTAGGAAGTGCCTCAAAAAAGTAAAAAATCTTTGAGTGACCGGTTTTACCATACACATTTTTCTCAATAGATTAGTTTTTGTGATATATCACCGTTTCCATTAAATTAAACTAATATTCTGAATCACTACAAGATGTAATCTCCATTTAAAAATAACTCTTTTTCAGACACTTGCTCTAGAAAATTCTATTTGTATTGAAGAGATTCCAGAAAGCTGCTTATTTAATACCATGTTTAAGATGAAAACATGATGCCCTTGATGACGGCACCTGAGACTGCATGGCTTCACTTGTCTAGGATACTATCCTTGTGAAGCCTTTCAGTTTGTGCCCACTCTTGTTCTTAATCCTTTGACTACTGAAATATCTTATTACCATAGGCTTAATACTGGCGATGGGTCTTTTTTTGTTTCTCTCTTTCTTTTCCTTCTTTTCCTTCTTTTCCTTTTTCCCCTTCTTCTTCTTCCTTCTCCTCTTCTTCTATTTCGTCCTCTACTTCTACATCTTCTTCTTCCTCTCTTTTTCAGACACTTGCTCTAGAAAATTCTATTTGTATTGAAGAGATTCCAGAAAGCTGCTTAATTAAAACCATGTTTGAGATAAAAAATATGATGCCCTTGACGGCATCAGAGACTGCATGGCTTCACGTGTCTAGGATACTATCCTTGTGAACTCTTTCAGTTCGTGCCCACTCTTTGTCTTAATTCTTTGACTACTGAAATATCTTATCTTATTTTGAGGCACTTCATGATCATTTTGAAACATAATTTTCGTAGGGCTATAATATTACACCATATCACAGACACTGATAACACGTAGGGCCATGCATCTCAGATTTGTAAAACTGGAAACATTGTTAAACAATGCCTTTAAAGGGATCGTTTAACAATGTTAAATCTGAGATGCATGGCCCTACATGTTACCAGTGTCTGTGATATGGTGTAATATTGAAGCCCTAACAAAATTGCGCTTCAAAATGATCAAGAAGTGCTTCAAAAAAGTAAAAATCTTTGAGTGACCGGTTTTACCATACTCATTTTCCCCAATAGACTGTAGTGTTATGAAAACCGTTCAGCGAACGGTTTTCAAAATTTGTAATTCCAATCATTAATATCTCAATAATCAGACAGGCGATTGGCTTGTAAAAGTCATGGAGTTCCTGACTGACCTAAAGGTTTATAATTATCATTGCCGCATGAGCTAAATCAAGGATTATTTCCAAAGGATGTAAGACAAAGTTACCGGATCCCTTTAATGTTACTCCTACAGGGCAATCACCACCACAGAGTGCATCGCTATGATGCATCAAGGTATAGATAGGTGTGCGCCATCAATCAAGCTAGCTTCCCTCGCATTCTGCACCAAAGAGTAAACGGCACAGTCTCCTCCCTCCGACATATATCAAATTGGCAATGCTATTCAGCAGCCAGCCAGCCAGCGTGCGCTGCAGCCCTCTTCCTTCCTCCCCCCACTGCGGGTTTAACGGGCAGGGAGCGAGGGAGAGGAAGATGGGACAGGGAAGGGGGGACCGAGGTATCTTTGCTGGCTGGCTAGCTAGCTGGGTCTGCGGCATCACGTTTGCGTCTGGTAAGACCATTAATTAGTTGGGGAAAACGGGGACAAGGCTGCTGTCCCAATTATGCAGCAAATGAGACTGGTTCGTCGCTAATTTGCTCTACCCAGACACTCGTTAGTGACAGGTTGAATGAACCCTCCCGGGATCTTCTCGCCCTTTATGCCATTTGCTCTCTTGCTTTTTCCTCTTTTCTGTCTCTTTTTTTTTTCTTCTATAGATGCTCCTTGTGCCTTGTGAATTTGTCGATTCTTTTTCACGTGTTATCAATATTGAACCGTCTTTTGTCTGCAAATGTGGTAATGTCATTCACCGGGATATTAATTTTCTGGCAAAAAAGATGTCTCCCCCTCTCTCTCTCTCTCTCTCTCTCTCTCTCTCTTTCTCTCTCTCTTTCTCTCTCTCTTTCTCTCTTTCTCTCTCTCTCTCTCCTCTTTTCATATACCCAGTGCTCACTCTTTATCTCTCATTCTCTTACTGTTGCTCTTTTCCATCCAAGTGCTGCTTTACCTTGTTACTGGTTTGGAAGCCTATGTATTATTTGTAATGTAGGGCCTGAATTTTTATATCTGTACCCACACTTACAGAAGCTCTGTATTCTTGAAACAAAAAAAGATGTAGAAATTATTTTCTATTCTTTGCAAAATTTGACTTAACTAATTTCATATCTAATGTAGAAAGCATATATACCACTTAAAATCCACAGACATTTTTCTTCTAATAAATTTTATATCAGAATTTTTATTTTCAAAAGCATTTCTTTAAATATGTCAAATGCAGTTTAGCTGATGCCTTTTTGCTCCAAAAACAAATGCTTTGGGCATGTGTGCCCTGGCTTTCAGACAGGCAGAAGTGGAGTGCCTGAAAAGTGGCAATGTTTGATGTCCGGCTTATAGTTTTTATTAACTCTACTTTTTTTTTCCTGATTTGTAATCTGCTCTTCTGGTGTTCTTCTTTATCGGTATCGTTATCATGGATAGCATAACACATGAGGCGCGTCGTCATCATCTCGAGATTGCCAAATAGCCCGCTATTTCTGATTTGGGAATTAATCCCGAAGTTACAAATCGCGTCTTCATCAGCTCGAGATTCGACCTCGAAACTTGAAACTCGACCTCGAGAAATTAGCTCGAGATATTTTGCTCGGCGTTCGCGCACAGTACGAGTTCTTCGATCTGGTGAAGACGCACTGGACAAATAGTGGGATATTTTGCAAACTATCCCAAGATAGTTCGGGATGACAATCCGACCAAATATCCCGCTAATTGCAACTTCGGTCTGATGAAGACGCAAATTAGCTGGATAGTTTGCGATCGAGATAGTTCAAATAGCGGGATATTTGGCAATCTCGAGCTAGAGAAGACAGGCCCATGGTCATCATATTTTCTCATAAGGGCCAATCAGTTCAGAAGATATTGACATAACTAAAGGTGTCCAGATGAAAACTGAACAGGAACATAATGCATCAATATAAAGATGAAATGATAAATAATTTCAGAGAATTTAGTTTTTAAAATTTAGCCCTTAAGGTATCTGTCAAATTACTTATATTGGATATGCCTGAGAGAAAAATTATTGCTGGTGTGAGCATGATCACAATTGAATATATATGTGACTGAGGTTCTGTAATCACTTTCTGGTAGAAAATTGTGATTAATAATTATTGCTGGTGTGAGCATGATCACAATTGAATATATATGTGACTGAGGTTCTGTAATTACTTTCTTGTAGTAAATTGTGGTTACTTCGCTTGCAGAAGAAATCATGGATTTTCAGGTTTTCTTGTACACTAAAATGTAAAAAGAGACAGCAATCTCAAGGAGGTATATACAGGGCCTTGTACAAACAGCTGATTCTTGGTTTTACTGGTATTACATATTCCAATTTTATGTTTACTTTTGAAACAAATATTGTTCTTGACAAGCTGAAGGCCTGCCCGAGGCTTACTCGATATAGCAACAAATAACATGTATGCAGAATGAATTCCAAGTATTGTAGTTCATTCATTAGTAACAAGTTAATGGAGAACCTTGTCATGATCCCCAGGAATGAAATGTGCATAAATTTGAATATTTTGAATTATTTTGTTACTTTTTAATCATTTGATATTTCACTGAAAGAGGATAAAAATTACATCAGCTTAGAATCTTGAGTTTCTTGATTCATCAACTAAAATCAAAGAAGCTGATAAAGAAATAGAGGGGGGGTAACCAAATTGTACCAAGGCTTTAAATATATATATATATATATATATAGAGAGAGGAGGCGCGATAGCTCACCCGGTAGAGCAGTGGTCTCGTAATCCGGTGACCCGGGTTCGAAACCAAGGCGATGCGCTACTGCTCTTTGGTAAGGCTTTAATCCTCACTACCAGGTCCCTCGGAGAGGACCTAAAGCCGTCAGCCGTCTGGTTGCTTACTTACAAGCATTTATGCTTTCTTAGCAGTCGGGTAAAATAACCATCACATAGACAATTATTTATACCGTTATTAGACCTGTACTTTTTCTTCCAATGGTTATTCCGTCTTGTTAATTTCTTTCTCTTTATCATTAGCCGTTGCCAAGAGCAAATGAGAGACTGCTAGCTCCAAGGGCGGGCAAGAGACGACATGATGGCACCTCACGTTCAGAAGACAGAACGCACGGCTTCTCAATATGCAAGAAATACAAAGTAAGTGCCATCTTGCTTTTTTTAGGGGGGGGGCCTTATTGTAATTTGTTTGCTTTGTTTTATTTAGATTTTATTTTATATATATTCTTTGTTATGTTTCTTTCTTTTTTTTAAATTTGACAGTGCATGATGATTGCTTTTCTGCAGACAAGCATTCATTACATTATGTGAAGTACTGTCTCGACATCGCCATAATGGGATCGACAATATGATTAAAGTCAACGTAAAGCATTTCTAATTCAGGTTGTCTCATTCAGCCTGTATTATAACCAGATATTGTTGTTAGCAATAGAAAAATTGAAATTTTACTGTGTATCAGTTCTCATCTTTTACCTTGCTCAACAAATTATATGTCCCTGGAATTGGTGGATGAGAGTCTATAATTTTTTTAAAGGTTTTTAATTTTCTTTTTACATAGAAAAGGACACGATACACCTAGGGAATTACGGTTTTGCATATATCCAGTTTCATCATTAAACTCTTTTTACGAGGTTTCACTTCACCATAGTGTGACACATTTATTGTTTTATGATTTAAAAATAGATCTTGGATCTGGTGCATTCAATAGATCAAGAACATTGACAATTAACACGTATTTGTGGGCTGTCTGTATGCTGTGGTCACATATTCAGACAACTTGTTAAGGCATAAAAACAAAAGGAAATTGTTAGAAAAGAGAGCAAAGGGAAAAGCTACAGTTTGATAGTTTCTCATTTTCTCTTCTAGCAGTCAAAGAGACTGTGTATCTCAATATCTTGCAAATGTGTACCGAACTTTCAAGCCACATGTTTGTGTGTGTGTGGTCCCATATACCCATTTCTGTGTGCAGTGTACGTGATTTTCAGGAAGATTGAGTCGACTCTTTTCTTTTTCATCGTTCAAAAAATACCACATAATACACCTGGGGGGGGGGGCATTTCACAAAATTTGTCATCAGTGAAAAATGACAGTTTTTGTTATATGATACTGAAATCCTTGCTTCTGATTGGTTATCAACAGATTTGTCACTGATTTTTGTCATTTGTCACTGAAAAAAGGCTTTGTGAAATGGGTCCCAGCTGTATTGCTTCCCGCCCGTGTTTTTTTTGTTTTTTTGTCAGAAGACAATCAAAGGAATCTAGTACTTGGCTTCATCTTTGAGGCTACTGAAAAGCTTTTCCAGTTAACTTTCATTATATTTAAAGCCCCATCGCACTACTTGTAGCTACTTGCTCCCTCTATGTAGAAAACAATGCGTAAGTGGTGACCGTTGGTCCCCCATGATCCTCTATTTCTTATGTTAATTGAGAGCTAAGTTGATGACATAGCCACCTGTCAGTGACCAACAGGGTGGTCTAATCCCTCAAGGCCAAACTAGTGCAGACGTGCTTTAAAGACAAGAGGAGAAAATGTTGTGCCTCTAGATAAAAGTTGTTATAGTCCATTTCACAATGCTTGTTAATACATCTTGCCTGTAGTATCTATCGTCGGCTGCCAGCAAGAAGGCTGTAACTGCCGCTTATGATACACACAACTCTTACTGCCCTCTTGCAGGCTGCGCGACAGACATTATTTGTTTCTCTTCGCCTCTTACCAGCTCAATACTCCTCAATGACGAATGAGTCACTGTACAGAGGGGGGGGGGGGGGGGGGGGGGGGATCTGAATGTTGATAGGCTTAGCAGCTTGTGACATTATCAAGCTCATGCAAGACTTGGTTTAGAAAAGAGCCCTCGAATTCTCTCTTTTCAGGCAAGCTAATTGAACATGATTGTCAAAAGCCTGCTGTGAATTCGCTGCTTGCTTGACAGCTAATGAAACAAGTTTTATAGTAGGCCGTGTTTGTATTATGCGATAGTTTAGCAGAGTTTTCTTCTGACTGAGTTTGGTAAGTTTCTAGAGGATGTACCGGAGTTTGGTAAGTTTCTAGAGGATGTACCGGAATGCGAGACAGCTTAAACGAGAAACTCTCAAATCAGAAATTTTTGTCATCACGAAACTTTGCAGGTTTCACCAGTTACTGCAAATGATGATTTACAAGATGAAATTGTTATAATGGCCAATTATTGCTGTTTTAACGATTGAATAAAGCTCGAGGTCACTAATGTTTCTGGATTTACAGTATATGCACATTCAAAGATCATTCTATTTCTTTGATTGATAATGTAAATGAAAGTTTAGTTTTCTCCGGGGTTCCCTTGTGCATGCTCAAAGATGAAACAAACATATATGCCTTTTTACACGAGTGGTCCAAATGACATGTCAAACACAGAAATAGTCTCAAATGTGCAAACATTTATGATGCAAAACTCCAGTGCCAATCTTTGTGGAAACATTTGAGAGTAAGTTTTTGGAATAAGCGCAGCCACACCTGCTAAACTACTGGAAAAAAATAAAAATAAAACAAATTTCCAGGAATTTTTTTGCCAAAATGACCTCACCTAATACAGAGTAATTGTCTACTATTTATCAGTTCCACCAAGTAAATTTCCTAAATTCTTGGGGATTTTTGTTTGTTTAAAGCTTCACAAGCAAATTAGTGAAATCTGAAGGTTAATTTCCTAAATCTAAGGTGCCTTTTCTTGTTGGAACTTTTTTAAAGTAACTTTTGGAAAACTTTGCATTCACACTGACAGAACTATACAAGTTAAATATCAGCAATTTTCTGCCAGTTGTGACGGCAAGCATTGCATTTTAGCAGACCTAGTCCAGGTCAGTCCCAGACAGTGGGTGGACCAGAGCTAATGAATTTAAGGTTCACACTAATTGAGTAGAGACTGGTTTGATGGATGGGCCCAAGGTCATTGTACTATTATGGGCTTATCCTAGCTAGGCCTGGTTTAAAATTGGAATAAATCGATAAACCGGTCCGTTTGAAGCGGCAAGTGCTTAATTCTTCGTTAGAGTAGTCTAATTGCCCTTGTATCTCCAAACAGATGAATATAATGATGGGTTGGGATTTTTTTTTTAATGTTAGAGAAGTTTTCCAACAATAAATAAATAGCATTGTTGGCTGTATTTGTTAATCTCTCTCTCTCACTCTCTCTCTCTCTGCCTCTCTCTCTCTCTCTGCCTCTCTCTCTCTCTCTCTCTCTCTCTCTCGATAAATCAGTGAATATGAAAAGTACAAATTGAGTTCAGTTCTGGATTTTAGAAATATGTTCAAGTGAGTTTGATGGAAAACTATAAAGGTACTCGTCCACTCCTGAGATGTTCTAAGAACTTCTATCATTACTTAATGGGAGAAAATAATGGCTTGATTAATGTGGATTCACAGACTACAAGGTGCATACTATCCGTTACTTACGACTGTTTTTCATTGGAGAAGTTATATCTGACGAGTATCATTTTGAGTAGAAGCACTCCCTCTTGTGTGCATTCTCTTGCGTGTTGTCTCTCTCTCTCTCTCTTTCTCTCTTTATACCTGTAATCCAAAGGAAAATGCAAGAAGCTTTTTTATGTAGGTCTGATACATTCCCCTCATTTCTGCCCGGGTCCTTGCCCTTGTCTGTCTGCCTTACGTGCACTTTCCCTTCTGCCGATGTCATTTGGTAGATTCCATTCCCAGTGTCATCGCTCGCTCTGTCTCTCTATCTCTCTCTCTCTCTCTATCTCTTTCTCTCTGTATTTATCTCCTCTCTCTTTTCTTTCTTTTTACCTTTCTCGGTTCCACTTCTCTCCTTTCTCTCCTTTCTCTCTCTTTCTCTCTCTCTCTCTCTCTCTCTCTCTATATATATATATATCTCCCTCTCTCTATGTATACATCTCAACATGTCTTTCTCTGTTCTTCTATCTTTCTTTTCTTTGTCCTCTCTCTATCAATTTCTCTCACTCATCATCTATCTGTATACTTCTATTTTTCTCTACCTCTCCCATGTTCCCTTTGATCCTCTGACATTATCATTTTTATACATTTAACATGTTTTGTGCTTTGCGCTCTCTTCCGGCTTATATCTCTCTGTTGCTCTCTCTATCTCTCTCCTCTCTTCTCTTCTCTTCTCTTCTCTTCTCTTTTTTTCTTCTCAGTTTTCAACCGATTACTGGTTCACTCACCCCAGCCGAAGCTTTATTTTCAGCGCAGCTTGGATTTAGACAACGGCACAAAACAAGACCAACACAAATTGCGCAATATAACTGAGCCTGTTTGTGGTAGCATTTAACGGCATGACCAGCATCGCCTCGTTTGCTGGGCTCAGACAGTGTAACGAACCGCAATATCAATCTCTCTTTCTCTCCGTCTCCATCTCCCCCTCTCTCTCTTTCTCTCTCCATCATATTTCCCCCCTCTATTCTCATCATTCTCTTTGGAGAGCTGGCAATATGAAAATTCTTGTCACATTGCATGCTCGGCGCGCATGTGTCCTCGTCGCGAGATGGGCCGATGGATGCGATCGTGCCGTCGTTCTTCTCGAGGTACTAGTTGTTGGTTGTTGATCTATGGGACTCCGGTATTAAAATGCTAGGAAGGTGTTGAACCCACTATGTGCAGCTATTCCGATCCTGTGTGTTTGCTCGCACCGTTCCCATGACACCCTAAACAGACCACTGTCTTTGTGGCTTGTCAGGGATAGTTTAACATGACAGTAATAGTGGCTCAGCAAAAAAAAAACGAAACATCATCTCATTTTCCCCCATCCTTGATTGTATTAGAAGTTTGGAAGATTATACATTTAGGGGATGCTGTAGCTATTTGGTTCAGCCATCTACATTGAAAAAGTCTATCTTGTGATAAGAATCAAAGTATAGAAGAATACTGATGTTTTATTCAATATTACAGTAGTTTAATAAGAGGAGTATGGAGTTATTAAAATAATAGAGAAGAGATGACGCCATACATAGACGTTTGTGAGCAAGAGAAAGTTGCCATAACCAAATTCAAAAAGTTTGTCTTGGCCAGACTACAGTTCTGTGTCTACTGCTGAATTCTTGTTAGGTGAAAGTTTGTGATCAAGAAATTCTAATAGTTCAGAAAATAGAGTCAGGAATTATGACAATAATTTAGATATTGTTAGATGCTATTTGAAACAGGCCAAGAAAACGAATTTCTGAAATTTGTTTGAATGTGCTTGATTTTTTTGTAAAGTAATTTCTGGAAGAAAATTGTCCCAATTTTCTCTCAAGCAAAGGATCGAAAGAGAAATAAACATTTTATTTTTTCATTTCATTGAATTACAACATCTCAAGTATTATGAGAACAAAAAATTGAGAAGTCTATGCAAAATGCGAAAGAAATGTTCAAGGAACCGTTGAAAATTGCTCTGTTTGTTTTTTCCGGGCTGAATATAAATCAATGTAGAAGCTATTTTTGAGAGAGCTGTGTGTTGAATCTACATAGCCTGCAGTCAGTATGAAACCTGGAGGGATACATGAATAATCAGGAGGACAGTGCTCTTGCTATTTCGCAACGAGGCGTTCGATGACCTCAACGAAATGAAGAAAAATGAAAGCATATTTGACATGATCCAATTTAAATAGGACTCAATCAGAAGACGATAGATCTTTGTTTGTGAGAAGGGAAGAAAAAAAGGAGACAAGCTACAGCGGTTAAATTTCTGCTAAATCCTAAATCGCGGAAGCTGCACGGAACGATGCTACGAACGGTGTGCGAGACGAAAGTGAAGAGAAAGAAGCACTCAATTTCCATTCCTATCTAGTTTGATCAGTCTCAAGGCTGAAGCTATTCCTCGTGCACCGACCGCGGCCAATCCCGACGACGATCCAAAATATGAAATACGCGGAAGATTGTCAGCTCATTTACTCCTGCCATTTCGGGAAGAAATTTAGATTCCTTTTTTTTTTTCTTCTCTCCCGGCTCACTCCCATCGCAATCTTCCCCCTTATTCTTTGACGACAAAGGGAGATACACGCGTAAGATGGAGTATTTTTACAATTATGGTTTTTGAGTGGCCTAGATTTTCTCCTTGCTTGAGCCCTTACCAGACAAAACAATTTGCCGTTCTGATTTTTCGACGGGGAGAAGAAAAATTGCTGAGAGCTAAAATGCAATCGAAACGGGAGTTCAACGTCTTTGAGGGAGGGAGACAAGATATGAGATGTGCGATGAAACCATTTTTCTATGCCCTTGGTTTACCTCAGCTTCTCTTCTCTCTCTCTCTCTCTCTCTTTTGCTCTATCTCTCTCTTTCTCTCTCGCGCTGTTTGTGCAGATGCAGATATTGAGTTAAATTTAGCATTGCTTCTCTTCTTGTACCATTTTGTTTGTCTTGGAATATATCTATGTGTTGGTGTGCTCACTGTGCTGGATGCTTCACGTAAAGTAAAAGGTTTTGTTTCAAGGGCCTCTGAATTGTGCAGCTTGAGAATGTTTCCTTTATGTAGGGATTGAACGTGTTATAAAATTATAAAGGAAGACTATCCAGCATGATAATCGTATGCTCCAGTGTGAGAGGTGTAGAGTTCAGGCGAAAATAGCATGAACGGACAACTGAGCTCCAGAATGATGTAAATTCATTGCAGTATGGTTGATTAATAATTTACTAAATCTCATCAAGTGGAATATGGATGTTGATTATGATTTCACTCTTTAAAGATAAAGACCAGTTCTGGTCATGCGATTGCATTATGAAAGAAACGTTGTGGAATCGATCAGAAAAGGTTGATCAT